TGACAAATAGTTATTAGTGTTTCCAAGTGCTATTTCTTCCTTCTCTGATATAAAAGGCTAAACCGGTGCCTTTTATGTTCTACTACTACGTTGCTCCAGAGGGAAGCCATGGGGAACGGCTTTGATTTGCGGCCAGCCATGGAAACTGTTAGTGATGCAGTACTTTATAACAGTAATGGACACTTAAGCGTGTCCTGATAGAGTGGGTTTAGGTTCAGACATGGGATCAAAGGATGACACACCTAAATAGTTTTGATCAATGTGATTAGTCAAAGTCTACAGGAATTGATTTTGGCTTATTGAGGATTAGCCAGGAAAAAAATTAAACTTTTCTGTTTTAGTATTCTATAGGAGGATATTGTCGTTATTGTTAACAGAGAGGTTCCACATGCATTATCTCTTTTGATCCTTTTTATTTCAGTCTCTTCAATAGAGGACATTTTATTATGTATCAGTACATTGACTTAAAATGAAGTTCAAACTCGTTACCACGGCCCACCAGGCCCAGGAGACCTTCACTCTTGTTTGTTTTATAATTTCATCTTATAGTACTTTATTTCTTTCTCATACAGGCTTCTCTTCTGTTCTGAAACTGATCAAATTGTTTTCCACTTTAGGGCTTTGCACCTTCAGTTCCTTCTGCTGGAAAGACACTTCCTCAGCTCTTTGCATAGCTGGTTCTTTCTCATCATTTTGGTCACAAGTAAAGGTTACGTCCGCAGAGACTTTCCTGACCCCCAACCACTATATTCAAAGAAAGTTTCCACTTCTTACTTTGGCTCTTATCAGACCAGATCCTCATCTAAACCACAGAACACACCACAGTTCTCAGTTCACAGTTCTCCATTCTCCATTCTCAGTTCTCTCAAGAACCAGGTATAACTTGTGCCATTCCCCTGTATAGGAGAGAGATCAATTCATTATATACAATGGATGCCTAGGGCATTAGGGTTCAATTCTCTATGGTCTAATTTATCACATCATCTGGTTTATTTCCCTCACAGCATTCACCATACCCTGTAATTATTTGGCATACCATTTGTTTAATGATTTATTGTCTGTTACCTTACTTTTCATATTCTTAATGATTACCTTACTCTTCCTATTCTTACTGAGATGGGAATACCAGACCACATTACCTCCCTCCTGAGAAACCTGTATGCAGGACAGGAAGCAACAGTTAGAACTGGACATGGAACAACGGACTGGTTCAAAATTGGGAAAGGAGTAAGTCAAGGCTGTATATTGTCACCCTGCTTATTTAACTTATATGTAGAGTATATCATGTGAAATGCCTGTCTGGATGAAGCCCAAGGTAGAATTGAGATTGCCGGGAGAAATATCAACAACCTCAGATAAACAACTTTTCAACCACTTTAATGGCAGAAAGTGAAGAAGAACTAAAGAGCCTCTTGATGAAGGTGAAAGAGGAGAGTGAAAAAGTTGGCTTAAAACTCAATATTCAAAAAACAAAGATCATGGCATCCAATCCTATCACTTTATGGCAAATAGATGGGAACAATGTGGAAACAGTGTCAGATTTTATTTTCTTTGGCTCCACAATCACTGTGGATGGTGACTACAGCCACAAAATTAATAGATGCTTGCTCCTAGAAAGAATAGCTATAACAAACCTAGACAGTGTATTAAAAAAGAGAGACATCACTTTGTCAACAAAGGTCCTTATAGTCAAAGCTATGGTTTTACCAGTAGTCATGTACAGACGTGAGAGTTGGACTATAAAGAAGGCTGTGCTCTGAAGAATTGATTGTTTCAAACTGTGGTACTGGAGAAGACTCTTGAGAGTCCCTTGGCAGCACAGAGATCAAACCAGTTAATACTAAATGAAATCAACCCTGAATATCCATTGGAAGGACTGGTGCTGAAGCTGAAGTTCCAATACTTTGGCCACCTGATGCGAAGAGCCAACTCATTGGAAAAGACCCTGATGCTGGGAAAGATTGAGGGCAAGAAGAGAAGGGGGCAACAGGGGATGGGATGGTTGGATGGCATCACTGACTCCATGGACATCAGTTTGAGCAAACTCCAGGAGATAGTGAAGGACAGGGAAGCTTGGCATGCTACAGTTCATGGGGTTGCAGAGTTGGACAGGACTTAGCAACTGAACAACAACCTTTCTCTAAAATGTGGACATGAGGATAGGGAGTTTATTGGTTGTCTTTGTTAGGCTGAATGGAAAACATCTAGCATAATGCCTGTTGCACTGCAAATGTTGTGTTGTAAATTATTGTTGATGAGTTATTGTTTTGCCTTTGATGATTAGAATCTTTACAATAGGGCAGTGCTTCTTAGCCTTTAGGGTACTCACTAAACTCAATGTTCAGAAAACTAAGATCATGGCATCTGCTCCCATCACTTCATGGCAAATAGATGGGGAAACTGGAAAACAGTGACAGATTTTATTTTGGGGGGAACCAAAATCACTGCAGTTGGTGACTGCAGCCATGAAATTAGAAAAATGCTTGCTCCTTGGAAGAAAAGTTATGACTAACCTAGACAGCATATTAAAAAGCAGAGACGTTACTTTGCCAACAAGGTCTGTCTAGTCAAAGCTATGGTTTTTCCAGTAGTCATGTATGGATGTGAGAGTTGGACTATAAAGAAAGCTGAGCACTGAAGAATTGATGCTTTTGAACTGTGGTGTTGGAGAAGACTCTTGAGAGTCCCTTGGACTGCAAGGAGATCCAACCAGTCCATCCTAAAGGAGATCAGTCCTGGGTGTTCATTGGAAGGACTGATGTTGAAGCTGAAGCTCCAATACTTTGGCCACCTGATGCGAAGAGCTGACTCATTTAAAAAGATTCTGATGCTGGGAAAGATTGAGGACAGGAGGAGAAGGGGATGACAAAGGATGAGGTGGTTGGATGGCATCACCGACTCGATGGATATGGGTTTGGGTGGACTCCGGGAGTTGGTGATGGACAGGGAGGCCTGGCGTGCTGCGGTTCATGGGGTCACAAGAGTCGGACACAACTGAGCGAATGAACTGAACTGACTGATGTTATATATATTTTAACAAGCACACACAAGTAATAGAAAGGAGAAACAATATCTGATGAAAATTTTGAAATACAGATCTTCCTCCAGTTACAGTGGGATGTCCAGACAAACCCATGGTAATTTGAAAATATCCTAAGTCCAAAATGCATTTAATACAACTAACATACCCAACATTAGAGCCTGACCTACCTTTAATGTGCTCAGAACACTCACATTAATCTACTCCATGGACTGCAGCCCGCCAGGCTCCTCTGTCCATGGGATTTTCCAGGCAAGAATACTGGAGTGGGTTGCCATTTTCTTCTGCAAGGGATCTTCCCAACCCAGGAAATGAAGCCGGGTCTCCTGCACTGCAGGCAGATTTTTTACTGGGCCACCAGGGAAGCCTACATTAACCTATAGTTGGGCAAAATCATCTAACACAAAGCCTATTTTACAATAATGTATTGGATATCTCATGTAATTTATTGAATAGTGTATTTTGAAAGTGAAACCCAGAATTGTTTATGAGTACAGAATGGTTGAAAGCCTATTGGTGGTTTGCCCTCCTTATCTTGTTTGTGGTTGACTGGGAGCAGGCTTACAGTCGCTCTCAGCATCAGGAGTGCCCTAGAGCAAATCGCTCGCCCAGGAAAGGATTGAAATTGAAAATCCTACTGTGGTTTCTACTGAATGCCTACCGTTTTCTCATCATCCTAAAGTGGAAAAATCTTAAGTCCAACAATTTTAAGTGGGGACCATCTGTAGAGGTTTATCTGTTATGTGTTCACAGTGATAGACTTGTTTCATCTTCTTGAGCATCTCCCAGATAGATGCCAGGAATCAAGCACAGAAATTCAAACAAGAAGCCAAGCAGTGTGACTTTATGGCCACTAACACACAAAGAACATCCTGTGAGGATTCACGAACGAGTTAAAAGCGTGCTCTCAGCCCTGCCTAGTTCTGGCATTCTGTCATTCCTTACTCTCAAATTCTTGACGAAATCCTGAGAGAAGTTCCTCGGAAAAAAATAGGCCAGAGTGAACGGCAAGCATTTGTGACGTGATAAAAGGAACTACCTCGGAGCAACACAGAGGACCGCACCGTAGACAGGAATTGAATGGGCCTTCTCTAAATGGAACTCACCCACCCCAACCCCCTTCCCCACCCCCGCCCAGGTTGGATGGGGAGTGTAGCGGGTGAGGGATCAGCAAGGGAGGAAAGGAACTTTCGACCAGAGAGAGCTGCACATAGAACTGAACGCGCCACGGGGAGTTGACACTCGAGCTGCCCCAGCAAAGTAGGCGCCGCGCGGCCGGCTGCCTCAGTTTCCCGGGGTAGAGGTTCTGGAGCGCCACCCCCTCTGACGTCACGGGGCGGGCCGTCTGGGGGCTAGAGCGCGGGGCTGGCCCTGAGGGGGTGGGCGCGCCGGGACGAAGCGTGGCGCCCCCGGGCCGCGCAGTCCGGGCGAGGCGGAAGCCTAGGCTGGAGGCGGGGCCGCGGCGCTGAGTCACGCGGGATTGACCCGCCCGCCGCCTGCAGAGGCGGTGGTGACAGCGGGCCTGGGACGTGCGGCCGTAGCTGCCCGCTGCGCCGAGGGACCGCCGGGCAGCGGAGAGCAGGTCAGGGGCCGGGCGAGGCCGGGTTGGGCGGTTCGGTCTTTGGGGGCGGCGGGCGGAGGGGACCCGGACTCCGAGGGACGCGCCGGGATGCTGGGCCTGCGCCGCCTCTGCCCGGCCGCGGCCGTTACCCCTGCCGGGAGCCTCCGACAAGCAGCGGGACGCCGGGCCCCCGCAGGAGCCCTCCGGTCCAGGTCGGTCGAGCCCTAGGAGGCGCCCTAGGTCGAGCCCTAGGAGGCCAGGTGGCCGGCAGTCCGAGGGGTGCAGACGTGGGCGTTTTAAATTGTGTCAGGCAAGCCCAGGGATCTTTGCACTGCACCGCCCTGCCACTCCGGCAATCAGGCGGTGTTTGTAAACTCTGGAAAAAAATCCAGCGTTATTTTACAGATGAAGAAATTCTTTTGGTTCACACAGCGTCACTTTCAGTCGGAGTAGGACGTGATTTTGTGTCAGGGAGGCAGAGGAGGACGGTTCCCGAAACGAGAGTTAGACCTGTTTGGCTAGAGATGCAAGCTTGCTTCTGGTGGAATTTGGTACACCTGCTTTCCTGCCACAGGTACTGATGTCCACCAGGCATCAATTTCTCAAGGCATCTAACCTTAAAAAGGATGTCCATGCTGTCAGTTGAATAAAGGAATACTGGGCTTACAAACAGGTCAGGTCTGCTGCAAGTTAGGTGCTGTGGAAAATGGTTGGTGTATGCAGTTAAATTTTAAATGAAAAAACTCCACTTTACATGCAATCTTTTTATCCTTTATTGTCTGTCTCATTTATATAGTAATGAAGGATACTCACAAATTATTCTGTAGTTAGTAATTTGCCTTTAGGTCTGTTTTACAGTAATTGTTTTATAATAATGTGAGCTTTCTTTTCACTATCACTGGTGTGGAATGTGGCAAGCCAGTGGTAGCATTAATATTTAGTGTTTGAGCATAGATTAACTGGGCTTCCCAAGTGGCACTAGTGGTCAAGAACCTACCTGCCCATATAGGAGACATGGGTTGGATCCCTAGGTCAGGAAGATCCCTGGATGAGGGCATGGCAACCCACTCCAGTATTCTTGCCTGGAGAATCCCCTGGACAGAGGAGCTTGGAGGGTTATAGTCCATGCGGTCGCGGAGAGGCAGACATGACTGAAGTGACATTAGCACACATAGGTTAGCTGCACATGTTTGTATAGCTGAAGTTACAGGCTCGATTAATTCCTTGTTGTATATTGAAGAGTGAAGTATGTGCCAGCATACAGGTGTTGTTTCTTAGACTGTTGCTGTGTTTATTACTCACGGCATAGAATTGATTCAAGGTGATGAGCAAGTTAGTTTAAACCTCAGCACCTGTTTTTCTCTAAATTATTGATTTAAAGGATCTCTAAGACTCCCATCTCTAAAGTTCCCTGATTTTACCTGTTAATTTGAAACATGTCGATCATTGTGACAATACTGATTTTTAGAAAACATGTTTTTTTTTTAAAACTCTGCATCATGCATAGCATATCTTCAAATTCAGTGTTACTCTCAGTGCTCCCCGTTACTTCATCATTGTTGAGTAAATGTAAGTCAAAAGAGACTTTTCAAATTACTTCTGTGTTAACACAGAATTCACTAAGTTTAGAGACTGTAATGGAGTGCTTTGTGTATGGTGGAGAGCTGCTAAAATCTGGCCTGGGGATGGGATCTCTGCAGTGCACAGATAACTTTTGCAATAAGCCAAGAACATTCTGCCTCAGAAATGTGATAAGGTGTCTTCTATACAGTGTTCATACTGTGTGAATTTCCAGCCGAGATGTGATAATCTTCGTAGACAATCTGTCCAAATATGTACATGTTATTTTGTCTTGCAGCTCCAAAGTAGAGCCTTTCCCACCTCTTGTTTCTTTTCTGGCTCCTTTCTTCTTAGTGTCCCTCTTATGGGCAGAGACCCCTTCACATTTCTCTTTGATCCACATAAAAAAGGCAGTTCAGAGCCTCTTTCAAGCACTGATTGAACCTACAACACTTTTTCTCCTCTTAAAGTACATGATAAATTGTAATTCTTGAATCATCATTTAGGTCTCCTAAAAACTCAGAGTGAATATTCATTTTTAGAACACAGTGCAAGACTCCATGAGGCTCTGGTTCTGAGAAAGGGTTAAGGGGACTGTGTATAGATTTTTATCCTCCCTAAACTGGGAGACTGCAATCTAGGAAGCCTCCAGAGCCCTTAAGACTCATTTCTCTGCCTCAGAAGGAAACAGTTTCAACAGGTTTCCTAGTGAATCTTCAAACTTGTTATTCTTCTCATCTCTCCCACTCACTTTATCAGGGTTGGGCTGAAATAAGCAAAAGGTGATTTTCTCATATTTCAGACACTTCAGTGTTCAGATTACAGATACTTTTTAAATTTGGTGAACTTTTTAAAGTGACAAAAGCAATTAAACTAGAATGCAAATGGAGGTTTGCATACCCACTACCAGATATAAGGCTTGCATTGTTTTTTAGGTTTATTAGTCTGTTGTTTCTGAAGTTAGTTAATGTATTACCTACCCCACAGTGGGCTTCCCGGATGGCCCAGTGGTAAAGACTGCCTGCTGGTGCAGAAGAGGTGGATTCCATCCCTTGTTTGGGAAGATCCCTTGGAGGAGGAAATGGCAACCTTTAAACATGAATTCAGTTAATATTAAATAGTTTCTTATTATGCCTTGCTTAGGAAATCATTTGAATAAACTAACCTTTAAGATTGGATAACAATACAGAGTGAAGTAAGCCAGAAAGATAAAGACCATTACAGTATACTAACACATATATATGGAATTTAGAAAGATGGTAATGATAACCCTATATGCAAAACAGAAAAAGAGACACAGATGTACAGAACAGACTTTTGGACTCTGTGGGAGAAGTCGAGGGTGGGATGTTTCGAGAGAACAGCATTGAAACATGTATATTATCTATGGTGAAACAGATCACCAGTCCAGGTTGGATGCATGAGACAAGTGCTCGGGCCTGGTGCACTGGGAAGACCCAGAGGGATCGGGTAGAGAGGGAGGTGGGAGGGGGGATCGGGATGGGGAATACATGTAAATCCGTGGCTGATTCATGTCAATGTATGGCAAAAACCACTACAATATTGTAAAGTAATTAGCCTCCAACTAATAAAAATAAATGAAAAAAAAAAAACTAAAAGTGAAAAAAAGAAAAAAGATTGGATAACTTAGTTTTGTTGGCTAGGAGCTAATTATAAGATATCAGTCTCTCACCTGGAAAGGCAGAAAGGTATGAACTAGCAGTCATAAAATCATATCACAGATCAACCTTGTGATGAAAGAATTGGTAAATCAAGGCTCAACAAATATTCATAGAGCACCAGATCTGTTCTTGGTGCTGGGGATATAGCTGTGAACAAAACAGAAAAAGCCCTGCCCTCATGCAGTAGATATTCTGGTACATGGGGGCAGACAGGAAATAAATGTGTGAATGGGTCATGGTCACATGATTATAAGTGTTGCTAAGAAACATAAAGAGGTGTAAGTGGCAAAGAAGGAGGAGTGCACTCATAAAGTGCAGAGTGGTCTGAGAAGGCCTCTACTGAGATCGCTTTCAATCTAGGTCTTGAGAGGAGTGAGGGAATGAGCAGAAGGCAGAGGAGTGAGTAAGTTCCAAACTGTAATGCAGAAGCACGTTTGGCATGTGTGAGGGACAGCGAGGTCATGGTGGTCAGGCATTCCCCATGTGGGTGAGGGGAAAGTGCAGCAGATGAGGGGTGGTAGGAGTTGGGGTGGGGGACAGGGTGTGCATAGCAGTGTAGGCGGTTTTGTAAAGTATTTTGGCCTTTACTCTGAGTGAGGGGGGAGCCCGTTCAGCGTTTTGGACAGAGAAGCTTCCGATGCCTTATGTTTTAACAGGATCACTTTGGCTGCTGGGCCAGAGAGACAGAAAGGGGACAAGGGCACAATCAGTGAGGTCTTCCCATTCATACCAGTTGTGTGACCCTGAACTGCAGTCCCCTGGCCTTTGTTTGCTCATCTTAGGATAACCAGGTGCTCTCTAGCTCTAGAATTTTTAGATTCTAAGAAGTGTGGGATCTCTGTGGGAAGACTAGAGGATTATATATATGAAAAGGTTCTGAAAGTAAGTAGTTTCAGAGGAGGTGAAAAGTTGATGCCACCCATGTGCCTTTAGCTGAATCACTCCTAATCTCACTCCTAATCAAGAGGTAATCGGCTCTTTTCAGTCAGGTTGTGAGGTCATGAGAACAAAAACACTGTTTCGTGACCATTCTCCCCTGATCTCTTTAGTACTCTGCTGATCCCTGAATTTTTCCCTTCCTGCTTGAAAAAGGATGAAAAGCTGTTACTCATCAACAAAACTGGCAACCAAAGTTGCTTTTGTTGTTAGGAAAGTTGGAAACTTAGGGGAAGGAAACAATTCTAATTTTGTTTTCATCATAGGTCATTTGAATTCTTCTTGTTAAACATGCAAGGAGCCTAAAAGATGTCTTTTTTTTTTTTCCCTTATCCTCCTCCCTGCATTTTAGTTGGTAATAGTGCATTTCATTATGCTTTTTTTCCCCCTCCTGTGTTTCTATGTGTACATCTAATTCTTTGCTTCTGAATGCTGTATTATGTCCCATGCTCTGTGTGCGTGTGTGAACCACAATTTTGCTTATCTCCTCTCTGTGTAATACTTACTTAGGTTGTCCCTACTTCCTACCAGCACAAATATTGCTGCAGTGAGCATCTTCATACCTGTCCACTTCTAAAACTGTGTAATAGAAGTGTGGGGTATACACTTAGAAGGGAATCACTGGGTCATGGGCTTTCATGTCTTGAATTTGATCAGACTGTGCCAGAAGCCTGCCCACAATAGCTGTACCAATTTCTCCTGCCAGAGTGTTCGAGGGGTCTTATATCATGTCCCAACCACCACTCAGCTTTCTCTCTGTCTCCACCTTTTGTAATCTCATATGGGCAAAGTGGTGTCTTGTCGTTTTCATTTGTATTCTTTGATTACTAATGATTATAAACATCTCATACATATAGTTTTATCTATAAATTACTGATTCCTGTCAGCCTATTTTCTCTTGAAGTTACTGTGTTGTTGCTGTTGACTCATGGAAGACAGTTTATAGATGTTCGTTCATCATCACTTTGTAGATGTTTTCTCATATGTTAATTTTGTCTTTGTTTTCCATTATCAATAAAAATTCTTAATTTCAATATAATAAAATAAGTAAATTCTTTGGCTTATGTCTTATGCTTTTAGAGTTTTTAGAAGGCCCTGCCAGTCCCCAAGTTATTGCTATTTCTTTAATTTGTCTGGAGTCCACATTACACATGAGTTAGATAGGGATCCAGCCCTATTATTCTCCATTTAATGAGCCAGTTTTTCCAGTAACATATCCAAAAAACCCATCATTTCTTTCATTACATTGTTATACCCTCTTTCTCCTATATGGTTTCCATGAATATGCTAGTCTATCTCTAAGCCTCTGTTTTGTTCCATTAGTTTGTCAGTTCTTGCTCTGTTTTTTATCGCTCTAATTATATTACAGTGATTTGGCAATACATCCTCAGGACTG